GGTTGCAGAGGGATGAATATCCATTTTCCGTAACCTCTTCAGGCTGAATAGGGATGATGATATTTTTGCCTAACTATTAGGGTCTTTTATATTCAAGGTAGAGAGGAGCTCAGTCAGAAAGCATCCATATGGTGAGGGTCATTAATAACTCTGAGTCCTGACAAAAGTTAAAAACTGGAAGATTAATATGTGTCCAATTTAAGAAAACATTGAGTAAGCCTATCTTGCATTCCTACACAAAGAGTGCAACAGCTATGTATTCCACAACAGTAAAGCAAAATAAGTAAAATAATCCCAAGTGAACCAAGTAAGAAGGCTTTCCATAAACTAGGCAATTATTAGAACCAAACTCATATGAAGTCAAGCCAATTCTAATACATACCCAAAGCACATGAGCCAGATTTTTATGTTACATGTTCCTTTTGTTTTTTCTGAGTAGCAGCCAGAGATCACTGGTTGGTTCACAGGAATAAGCAGGGTCAAACTAAATTGTAGAAAAAAAGCTCAGAAACAACTGACAAGACTAGAATGTAATAACAGATGCACCAGTTTTTGAAACATTTTTTTCTCTCTCCCCTGTTCCCAATTTTATTAAAAACAAATCATGATAGGACTGGTTTGTTTGCAAAATAAATGTTAGTCTTATTATACTTAGCTTATTTGTATAAAGTGCAGCAAGAATAATTATTTGTCATATAGGGTCCTTTTTAAATTATCTTTGATGGAACTTTATTCCATAAGGAATCTTAGATTAGACATTTAAAAGCCTTGAACCCATCCATGGGTTTATCTGTGCCTGCAAATGCTTCTAAGAGTTAAGTAAGTTTCTGCCCTCTCAAGGTCCCAAGTTAACTTGGGGCTCATGGGCTTGTCAAAAAGTGATATTCTTGCTGGGAGTGGTGGCTCATGCCTGTAATCCCAACACTTTGAGAGGCTGAGGTGGGTGGATCATTTGAGGTCAGGAGTTGGAGACCAACCTGGCCAATATGGTGAAACCCCATCTCTACTAAAAATACAAAAAAATAGCCAGGTGGTAGTGGCACACGCCTGTAACTCCAGCTACTCAGGAGGCTGAGGCAGGAGAATTGCTTCAGCCTGAGAGGTGGAGGTTGCAGTGAGCCGAAATCAAGTCACTGTACTCTAGTCTGAGTGACAGAATGAAACCCTGACTCCAAAAAAAAAAAAAAAAAAAAAAAGAAAGAAAAAGAAAAGAAAAGATAAAAGAAAATAAACTGACATTCTTTATTTACCACAGGTCAAAAACCCTGCAAAGAGACTGTGTAGAGAAGATATGAGGCCAGTTTTCCAAAGGAGCTTTTTTTGGCTCTATAAGTTAACTTTGATTCCTTAAAGCAGTCTGTTTGTACTTGAAAGCGTGTCATTCCAGTCAAAGCTTTGCTAAAATAATCAGTTTCCCCAGTTGTGTCCTCTTACAAAACAAAACAGATTCTTATTGCAGTATGCAAATAACTATATTGTTATCAGTTGATAATACTCACAAATAGTTCTCCAACTCTGGAGAAATTAGGTACAGAGAAATAAATATGCTCCAAATTTCATTTACGGGACTCAATTGTTAAAAGTTGTAAGACCTCAAGAGAAAAGTTTTCTTGACTCTGAAAAACAAAATCAAATGAATTAGCAACTTTTTAAGCAAAAAGTCATCCATGCTATTACATCCTGCTTTGCTCGATATTTATGAAGATGTTTTCCAAGAGAGTCTTGGAAGTTCTTTCCTCTCTATAGTAATGGCACACTTTCTGAAGTTATCAGAGACCTGTATTTAAGAGTACTTGTCAGAGTCCTGTAGCTGATTATAAACCACATTTGAAAGGGGATCAAAACAAGACAGAAATTGTCTGTGGATGACAAAAAATCTTAGGGAAGTCATGGTTAAAGGCACAATTGACTTTTAGTTTCTTCTGTGGGAATTTTGTTTTTTTCTGTGGTATACAACAATTTTACACAATTATCATTATTACTGATAACATACACTAAGTAATATCAGAATTATAGAACTTTCCCATAATATTGGAATACATACCAATAATGTATTTATATAAATACAGCCCAAAAAAATCCCAACACCATTTCATATTTGACAATGCTTTCTGTATAATTTTAATATGCTAAATAAGCTAGTATGTCATTTTTGGACTTTTGGGCACCTAAGATCTTAATGGTTAATCAGGTCGGGAAAAGACATAACTTAGAATTTGAGTTTGGAAAGTTTGTCAACTTGATTATCAAAGGTTTAAAACACCTGATACTCAAAAATAAAATCCCAGGTCACCGTAAGTCATGTATTTATTCAAAATGGCACTCAAAGATTTTAGAACGGCCCTTACTCATTGATAGAAGGAAGACTCAGCTGTCCAAACAATCTCTTTTCTTTCTTTTCTATTTTCTGTAGTGTATTCAAAAGCCAAACAAAAATCTATCTTTTTTTTTTTTTGTATTACATGAAAATATACTTCAAGAGAGAAAGCCAAATTTTACCTTTTGCATTATTGTACTATTAGGGTCAAATTTAATCCTATTAAGACTTATAGACAAATGTGTCCAATCTTAATCAGTTTGGTCTTAAGGTAAGAGTCTCTTAAACCTTTTATAATCCTTTACATTTTTTTTTGTTAAGGAACAGATCAGTATTCTAAAAACACCATGTTGTGCTGATGTTCAATTTTCAGAACAAATGAATGATATCCTTTTAACTTTAGACAACATGTTCATACATATAATTTCTTTTATAAGATTAATCTTTCATGAACCACCTCTGAAACCTTCAGCTTTATCCTATCTAATCTAAAACAATCCTTTAACCTTCTAAACCAGGCAAAAGAAAAAAAAACCTACATCCTTACACTTACATTTTTTTTTTCCACAGGAAACACATTCTACTTTTCTTACATACCATGCATGTAAAACTGTTCTTTAGTAGTCTCGGTCACATATGTTACAATGATAACTCTTAGCAACTTTTATTTTTGATGAAAAGCCTGGTAGGTAAGCTATTTCAATTATGTACTAGGCATGGAGCCAAGGATACCAGACAGAAGTACAAATACTCTTTCAGCATAGCCAGGGGGCGTGACTAACTCCACATGTCCCCAAGCCTTCTTTAGAATGCAATAGTCCCCAAGAAAGTAAGTTGAAAAATTATCAAATCAAAGATACAGTTTATGTAGTTTTAGTAAAATCAGTATCTGACCTGCCTAATTTAGATCAAATGTGTAAGTTTTGAACACATTTTTATTTTACCAACAATGTTTTAAACTGTATTTATTAAATATTACTAAAGTCATGTGAATTTAGAGTCGTTAAAGTTTTTATTGTTTTGACAAAATATTTGATTTAAGCACTTATTTTTCTTTAAGCAAATTAATTAGAGCTCATTTGTATAAACATAAAACACACAACACATATAAATAAACAGACAGAAGAAAATCCAGTAGTTGTAAGATTTTTAATTTGCCAGTTTTAAGTTTCTTAATTGGATTACTGGCTTCAGCATGGAGCCCTACAAGGAACAGGGCCAGGAAAGCATGCAGTTTTTAAGGCCCAATAAGAAGACACAGCTGGAAGGCAAAACAGATCCCCCAAATTAAGGGTGCCATTTTTATAACAGACCCTGGATCCCCAAAAAAGAGGAAATCAGCCCATCCCTCAATGGAGTCTTATCTCTCAGTGGGGAGTGGAGATTTTGTGATGACTTCTAGGTGGCCAAGAGCATGTTCCTCTGATTCAAATGTGCAAAGAGCAGAGTATCCCCCATAACTGCCATTAGTCATCCTGAAAGGTATATTTCCTACCTAGTTATCACACAGCAGAGCAGAAAGTTCTCTCATAATCTGTAATTTCTGATATTCCCAAAAATCAAAAATGTCAGGTAATGCAATGCAAAACAAAACACAGCCTTCTATTTTGAGAGGGATCTACCCGCTTTCAATTGCTTGGGTTCCATGTGAAAAACAGAGGTATTTCCCCAAACAAGGTCTGTGATGCCTCTCCTATTTTTCCCTAGGAGACCCAAAGTGTTAGAAATACTCTTTCAGCATCTTAAATCCTCTTATGTAGGCAGGAAGAGTGGCACGAAAACAAACTGGAGAAAAGTTATTCAGTCAACCGAGTGAAAAAATAACAAACTTTTTATTTAGAATAGTAAAATCCAAGAAGATTAAAAAAAAAAAAAAACAAACAGGCCTCTTACATATATGTATAGCTTGCGTATTTGCTATTAGTTGAGCTGACTTTTAACCATAACTTTTTTTAAAAAAAATCTTTTAAATCTCTTATTACCTGACTCTAGCCAGGACAAACAGCTAATATTTCTGACTGTTGGACTTTACCAAACATAACCTCCCAGGTGAGACAAATAAGCCTTAACTAAGGTTATTTAACCATGGGTATATGAAGTGTTTTCAAGGAGGTAGTTAGCATTTTTTACAATATCCAGAACTGCCAAAAGTAGCTCAGAGAAAAGGAAATTCAAGACAGGAAGTCAGAAGTTATTTAGGGAAGGGAAAAGAATCAATAAATGGCAAAGGTCACACAAATATCAAACCATAAAGGTCTCATTCCCTAAGCTGGGAATTGAACCCAGACTATCATGTGAAAAGACAAAAGCTTTAGCTACTGAGCTACAGCATTGGGCATTTCCCTTGTTCTTCCCAGAAGGAGGCTAGAGCAGTCAATTTTGAGCTTGCCAAAGTTTTTAATTGCTCAAGGTAATTTTTAGGGCTATGACATGAACCCTCAGACTCCTGTCCTCTGGATGACACAGACCAAAAGAAGTGTCCCCACATGGTCATAAAGTTAAGCACTCAAGGGCATAAAACAAAAAAGAGAAAAATCTCATCGAGGTTTTGTTTCTGGGATCTGAAGCAGTTTGTTAACTAACCAATTTGCTGAGCCAGCTTGAAGAGAGGACTTTTAGAGGTCCTAAGCCCACATTGTATCCATAGTACCCCCTCTATGACAGAACAATGCAGAAAGACAAATTCACAGCACAAGGTATAATAGATTCACTACAGCATAAGACTAGCCTCATAATTATTATTTTTTCCCATTAATCAACATTTTTCAGAGGAGACAGTGATTTTTGCTATTCATTCAACAGATTAACACAGAAAGAGAGAGTCCAGAAGCCTGACTGGTAAGAAATTCTTACCCTTTTACCTGCATTTTCTGGGTTCCCTTCTCTGAGTGCTTTGATGGCCCTGCTTGCTGTACCATAGTTATGGGGGCCAACCAATGTTACAATAGAAAATCATCATTTACCATTTTATAGAACTATAGGCAAAAGCCTCACAATTTTTCAAGACATTGCCCAACAGGGTGCAAGGAGGGAACTGAAATAACATCTTCCATTCTGGCTGAAGCAAATATATGTGACAACATAGACCCAGCCACGATGCTCAGCACCCAGTATCAACCTGGCAAGGTTCAAATGTGCCCCCGTTGGGTCCTGTCATCTTTAATCCACTCAAAGGGGGGTGGAATGATCTCTGATCAGGAGTTTCAACACATGGTCTCTGGGCAAGATGGAAGAGTGGGCAGTCACCCTGAGGGATAGAAAAGATGGAAAGGGGAAAGGAGAGAAAGAGAGGGGGAAGAAAAGGGAGGGAGAAAAGCATTGCCTGTGGCAAGGTTGGGGAGGAGAGAAACTCAGGGAGACCAAAGAAAGACCCACCCATTGCAGCAGCACTGAATCAAAGTTTAAGTGGCCACTTGTCAGTCATAAAGGGACCTTCTCCAGCAGTTCCATTAGCTCTCAAGTTTTCCCCTTTGGAGGAGGAAAGCTCCCCATGTCCCCTGAACTGGGATATGCCTAGTCCTATCACCCACAGCTATCAGCAGACTGCAAGGCAGATTCATCCAAAGAGAATAGTGGTTAACATCTGTGAGTGCCGCATCTGTTTTTAACCAAAAGGGGCTTTACCGAGGAGGACCTGTGAGCCCCTCTGTCTTAGGATGGACTCTGACCTTCCTAAGTTGGACCTTTAATTCAAGTTCAGACAAATAGCTTTGCACTTTACTAAGAGGCACCTTTAAGCCCCTATTTCTTAGGAGAAACTCTAACCTTCCTAAAGTGGGCCTGTAACCCAATTCTATCCTTTAGCCATGACAAAATACCCCACCACTTGCACAAAGCCAGCCAATTGGTGCTGCAATCTATTTCTTTTGGGTCAGGGGTCTCCACATTATCGTGTCTTTGTGGTTTGTCATGGAAGATGTTACTGGAAAAGAGTCCTGATCCACACCCCAAGACAGGGTTCTTGGATGTCACACAAGAAAGAATTCAGGGCGAGTCCACAGAATAAAGTGAAAGCAATTTTATCTGGAAAGTAAAACAATAAAGAATAGCTGCTCTATAGCATAGGCAGAATATAGGGCCTCATTTCAAGCAGCCACTATTCAAGATGGAGTGACTCTGGTTCCAACACCTCTCACAACATCACAGGGGAGCAGAGTGAAACCGGGTGGATCTGATGTTGAGTGCCCATGTGAAACAGAAGGCATGAGGGGCCACCAAGCACTGAGACTCCTGAAAGGTGAATGAGAAAGTCTCCATGAACAGGAAGGAAGTGAAACTCCATCTGTCAGCCTGTGGTAGCAAGGCTTGGAAACCCAGTTGTGGCCCCTCCTTCATGCTCGCTCCCTTCATTTGGATTCCTGACACCTCCCTCCCCTGGGATCTTTCTGTTCCCTGTTGCCTGGGGCACCTGGTCTCTGCATGTGAACTACTCAGAGATCCAGGGCTCAGGGCTCAGTCTACTCCTGTCTTTCCTTTCCTTGCCTCCTTGGTAACTTCATGGAGCCACATGGCTTTAAATATTAGCTATCTGTTGACTATTGGTTTATATCTCAGCCCCAAATCTTTCCCGGTAAACTGCATTTTCTTTCACCCAAAGCCCTTCTTTTTGTCATGTCAATGTTTCGTGGGTGTCTCACACATGACCTCCCAGAGTTAGAGCCCCGTTTGTTCTATACAAGTCTGCTCCTGTTGTCTGCCTTTCTCAGTGAATCTCAACTTCAACCAGGCCCTGGGGAGTCATTTCTCTTGCACTTCATTTCAGGTCTGTCAGCAAATCACACTGGCCATCATTCAAGTGACAACCTTGGATAAAGTCATCACCTTTACCACCCTCTGTTCAGGTCACCACCAGCATCAGTGAAGAGCATCCTGAGGGTGTCTGTGTTTTTGTCCCAGCCCTTCAGGGATCTGTTATCACCACAAACAGCGAGGTAATGCTTATAAATAGGTTACATTATGCCCTCTGGCTCTTAGGCCCTCCCACAGCTTCCTAAATTCAAGGGAGAGCCAGTCCACACTCACTCAGGGAGCCCCCTTTCTGCATCACGCGTCCCAGGGTCATCTGCTGCTGCTCCCTCCTCCCCTGAGCACTTTGCTCTGGCCCCACAGACTCACATCTTCTGGACCCCAAAATCTGTTCTTCCTACGCCTAGAACCCATTTACTGCTCTTCTTTAGGCTCTGGCTTAAATACCCAATTACCTGAGAGGATTTACCTTCATATTGTATCTTAAATTTGGCATGAATAAATTAGAATATAAATAAATAATTAAAACGTCTTCCTTGCTTTAACTTCTGTATTCTTCACATCACTTATCTGACAGACAATACAACTTATTTACTTCTTTTGTTTTTTACTTTATTTTGTTTTTCACCACTAATAGAATATGAGCTCTGTAAACGTAGAAATGTTTACTGTTTCAGTCACAACCTGAGTCTCCACATTTAGATTAGTGTCTGGCACAGGGTCAGTGTTCAATAAACATTTGTTGAATGAATAAATGAATGACAGTGAGTACTGTACCCAACAAGACAGTGCTGAGGTTTCTTAAAAGTGAGTGGAGACCTAAGTCCTGACAGTAACATATATACAGGAAAACGATATAAATGCACATAGAGACATATCCTACTAAAACTGCAGAACGTTAAAGAAAAAGGTTTTCTATTATTCAGTAGGCACTAGAGATTTGAATAAGTTTATTATCATTAATTTTTTGTTTTTTTAGAGAGAGGATCTCTCTCTCTTACCCAGGCTGGAGTACAGTGGTGCCATCATAGCTCACTATAACCTTGAACTCCTAGGCTCAAGTGATCCTCCCACTTCAGTCTCTCAAGTAGCTAGGACTGCAGAAGCCCATCACCATGCACAGTTAACTTTTATATTTTGTAGAAATGGGATCTTGCTATGTGGCCCAGGCTTCTCTCTAACTTCTGGCCTCAAGCAATTCTCCTGCTTCAGACTCCCAAGGTGCTAGAATTACAGGCATAAGACACCATGCCTGACTTAAAACTGAGTAAATTTAAATGTTGACACATTTATATATATTAAAATGTTAGGCAACTACTGAAGGAATATATAACCAAAACAAGTTCAAAAATAAAAGTAAAGAAAACTTGACCTACCAGTTAAAGTCAGAGATGGAAAAAAAATCTAACAAAGGAAAATATGATAAAAATAAAACAAAAATGGAAAAAAAGTAAAAATAAATTCAAATACAATAAAATTCACAATAACAGTTAACAGGTTAAGCATGACTTCTAAATTTCCAGTTCTCAGCTTGGATTGTATGCTCCTGTCATGATTATTAAAATATTAAAGCACATGGATGCTGATTGAATATATAAAAAAGCTATAAGGAAAAAACGCCAATCTGAAAAATATGATGTAGTATATTAACATTGTACTAATAACGAATGTAAGGATAAAGAACCAATGCGTTCAACTGAATAAATCAACAGGAAAATATGATAATCCTGAAAATATTTGTAACTGAGGAGAGAGGCTTAATATATAAAAAGCAAAATCTAATACACAAAAGGCTAAACTGACACACAATTAAGTATCTCCATTAATTACAAATAAAGAAGCAAAAAAGCTTGATATCATAAACACCCAATAATTAGAAAAATAAGAGAAAACACAGTATATTTAGAAAAACTGACAACACATGAGTCCATAGAGCAAGTTTCATTAAACATTATTATTAACATCTCACAGGAAATAGTGAAATGAAGTTAAATACGACAAAAAAATCTACAAAATTGAAAGAAGAGTGGTTTGAGAAAGTATGGAACATTTAGACCTGATGGAAAATAAAAACATCAAACATATAAATTTGGAGAAAGCTGCTAAAGCAGAACTAAGAATGAAACTTACAGCTTAAATAACTGTATTTAAAGAGCTCATAATGTAATGAACTAGCAATGCTAATCAAGTGTTTTAAAACCCAAAAGAGAGTAGACACAAATAAATTTTTTTTTTTTTTTTTTTGAGACGGAGTCTTGCTCTGTCGCCCAGGCTGGAGTGCAGTGGCCGGATCTCAGCTCACTGCAAGCTCCGCCTCCCGGGTTTACGCCATTCTCCTGCCTCAGCCTCCCAAGTAGCTGGGACTACAGGAGCCCGCCACCACGCCCGGCTAGTTTTTTGTATTTTTTAGTAGAGACGGGGTTTCACCGTGTTAGCCAGGATGGTTTCGATTTCCTGACCTCATGATCCACCCGTCTCGGCCTCCCAAAGTGCTGGGATTACAGGCTTGAGCCACTGCGCCCGGCCAAATTTTTTTTTTTTTTAATACAAAAAAATGGCTGGGCGCAGAGGCTCATGCCTGTAATCCTAGCACTTTGGGAGGTCAAGGTGGGAGGATCACTTGAGGTCAGGAGTTCGAAACCAACATGGTGAAGCCCTGTCTCTACTAAAAATACAAAAAAAATTAGCTGTGCATGGTGGCAGGAGCGTGTAATATCAGCTACTTGCTACTTGGAAGGTTGAGGCAGGAGAATCACTTGAACCCGAGAGGCAGAGGCTGCAGTGAGTCAAGATCATGCCACTGCACTACAGCCTGGACAACAGAGCGAGACTCTCTCTCAAAAAATAAAATAAATAAGAAAAATAAAATGTAGACAAGATAGTAAACAACTAACAATATAACAGGACTACAATGCATAAGAGCTGAAGCACAATTTAATAGGATTAAATATAGAATTGGGCAAGTATGACTATAATATTTGTTTATCCATAGTTTAGTTACATTATGACTATGGATAAACCCAAGATTTTTTAAAATACAAGAAAATACTATGAACAGCTGTATCAATAAATTGAAAAATAAATGAACAACAACTTAGAAAAAATCATTCTATAGCAACAAAACTGACTCAGAATAAGAAACTAAAAAGGACTTATAATCAATAAATATTGAGTGTTTACTCTACCTGGATATGCACACACATACTCTCACTGAGAAATCAAGACCTCTACTGAGGTCCAAGTACTTAGGAAAGTTTTCCAAAATTACTAGGGATTCAAATCCTATTTTATACCAAGTATTCTAGGGCATAGAAAATAAAGAGAAACCTTCTAAGTTATTTTATCATGATTATATAGCATTGATATCACCAACAAGAAAATAATACAAAGGCATTCTGAATAAATGTTTGCCCAATTCTTCAATTTATGTAAAATCAGTAACTTATTACCAGTTAGGTTTAACATTGATAAATTATTTAACATTTATAAATTCATTGGTGTAATTTACCATTGACAGACAGGAGAATAATCATGACCATCCCAATTGAGATAGAAGAAAAAATGTTTAATGAAATCCAATATTTCTTTCCACCAAAGGAGGACAGAAAATTTCTGTATTATCTGTAGAAACCTTAACAAACGTCATACATATTGATGACTTGCTAGATGCATTCCTTTCACAGCCAGGAAGCAGATAAGGGTCCTACTATCATAATCTCTGTTTACATTGTACAGGACATCCTACAGAGAAAACTGAGATGAGAAAAGCAGTAAGAAATGTAAGGACAGAATGGAAACTTGTCATTATCTGCCAATAAGATGAATATCTATACAGAGAATCCATGGGAATCTACAATTCATCAGGTCTACTTAGTCTGTTCAGCAAGTTTCCCGGCTGTTAAATCAATACGAAAAGTTGTTAGCATGCCCTTACAACAGCCTTAACCGATAACTGGGGAAATGTCTCACATATATTCATTTTGTCAACTGAGTATTCATCTGTACCAGTTTTGTGCCAATTTTGGTATTGTTTATTTGCGGATCAAAAAATATATAGTTTTATTTTTTAATTTCCAAGAGTTCTTTTTTTCACGTCTGCTCTGATCATTCCTTTCCTGAATACCCACTGAAAATTAAGACTTTTACTGAGTTAGGGCCAGATGCAGTGGCTCAGGCCTGTAATCCCAGAACTTTGAGAGGCCAAAGCAGGAGGATTGCTTGAGCCCAGGAGTTTGGAACCAGCCTGCGCAAGATGGAGAGACACTATTTATAAGAAAAATAAAAATAAATTAGCTGGGCATGGTGGTGCACACCTATAGTCCCAGCTCTTAGCAGGCCAAGGTGGGACAATCCCTTGAGCCCAGGAAGTCAAGACTGCAGTGAGCTTATGATTGTCCCACTGCATTCTAGCCTGGGCAAGATCTCATCTCTCTCTCTCTTTTTTTTTAAGACTCCTAACTGAGTTCGGATATAAACATATCATTAAAATTGATGTGAATATCCGTTGTAGCCAATTTCAGAAGAAAAGACAGATTCCCATCTCACGCATTTCCTACCTGTATTTTTCAGGTCCAATCCTTCAGAATCCCTCAGCTTTCTTATGCCTTGTGTCTGAGAAGGTTGACCTGAACAATCTGTAGGACATTCCTACCCTCCAAAAAAAAAGTTAAAAAAATAAACAACAAAACATCCCCAGGAGAAATTCAACTAAGATCAGTGCCACAATAAAAGTCCTGAGAAGTGTTAAGTGTGGGATGGTGAGTCGTATCTCTTTTTCTGGTAACTTTTTTTTTGTAGTGCAAAAGACTAGAGGAGTCATGAGAATGGGATAGATTCAGACAAGCTCGATGATGTACAAGTGCCACACATGTCATGAAAATGATGACAACAGATTGGGATAAACCCCATGATAGAGTGTCGCAATCCTGTGTAGAGCCAGATGTGTGCTTTTTTGTTTGTTTTTTTTTTTTTAATTGGATGTAAGCCCTGGCTTCCGGTAGGTAGCAAGGTAGCTATTGACTTGATGAATTTTTTCCTCCACTTTAATACCATTAGTGAGGGAAATTAGGATAAATTTGGAGGACAGGACCCACAGAAAAATTGCCTCCGGGTTGTCTCAACTCCCTTGCTTTCTCTCAAACTCTAATTCGGAGGAATCTTGACCTACCCACAGAACATCAAACTCTTCTTTACTTTGATGATATCAGACTCACTGAATCTGATGGGCTCAGGTAGTCATGCCCCAGAGGCCTGAAAGGTGTATGTGGCTGCCTAGGGTAGGAGATCAACCCTGTAGAAGCTTAGGGGTGTGGTGGCACTTATTCTAGAGTGAGTTGCTGCTATGGATTGCACCCCTTTGCCCCAAGATGACAGATTGAGATGAAGACTCACATGCAGGCAGTTCACTGTGTTGAACTCTTCTGATCAACACCTGGTGAGGAAGAAAGAAAAACAGGACATGGTAGGGTGTGACTCAGTCTCCCAAAGGGTTTAGCCAATCATATGGATAGGTCTGCAAGATGATGTGGGCCTTCACAGTTGTCCTAGGGCAAGAAAACCTGGCCTTTTATAACCTGTAATGACCTGGTATAGGACACAGGTTGGCTGTAGGAGAAGGATGTGACTTTGTGTGACCTTGGAGACAACTGTCAACCTTTCTGTCTGCTAAAAGCCTTCCTAGCTTGGTGGGTTTCTTTAGATTTTAGAGGCAATAAATGCCATATATATGTATATTTTCTTTTTTTGTTCTTTTTGCCCATTTAAAGTGTAATTGCAAGTCTGTCAGTTTTGAGCAGGATGAGGGATCAAGAAAGGTCTCTGAGGCAGGTCCAGGCAGCCACCCTGCCATGTATACCTTATGACCCAGAAAAGCCACAAGAAATGTTTATGGAAAATTATATACTGTCTTCTAGGGAGCCCTCAGAAAGCCTTGTTAGGAGAGTCACAGCAGAGCCCCTGAGAGTTTGGTGATGGGCTGTACCTGCATTTCCCTGCACTGTAAAAGCAGTGCCTGGCTTGTTTCCAAGCCTGCTGGAGACTGAATAATTTATCACAGGACACTATGTAGCCATGTAACCCTAATTTTCTATGATGAACTATTTTCTTCCTGATGCTCCAAACCTTAAAGCTAGATTTGTATTAAAATATTACATGATAAAATGGAAGTGATAAAAAATTAGATGAGGCCTGAACAGGGACAGAAAGGCCAACTAAACACACAGAAAAAGCAAGTGACTCTGATGTCCATAGCAAACTGATTGTACTGCTTCACTGCTTTGTCCTCCCACACCTGTGGTCTAATGAGGAATTCCCCATGATCAGTTTATGGAAGGGAATGAAATTTGATCTCATCCACAGACAGATCTGCACAGGACAGAAACACCAACCCTGAGAGGGTAGACACCATAACACAGCCTCACAGAGATAGCTCTGTAGACAGGGAAGAGACATCCTGGGAGCAGGCTGAGCACTGGGTGATGTTCCTGGTTTTGAGACAATGAATGGTTAGGGATATGGCTCTACATTCATTCCCATGTTGTAGTTTATCCTTCTTAACTGTGTCCTTTGTTTCTCATTGTATCAGTCCATTCTCGCGCTGCTATAAAGAAATCCCTGAGACTGGGTAATTTATAAGAAACGAGGTCTATTTGGCTCACAATTCTGCAGGCTGTACAGGAAGCATGGTTGCATCAGCTTCTGGGAAGGCCTCAGGGAGCTTTTACTCATGGCAGGTGGCAAGACGGGAACAGGCATCTTACATAGCAGGAGCAGGACCAAGGGATGGAAGAGGGAGGTGCCACACACTTTTAAACAACCAGATCTCATGAGGACTCCCTATTGTGGCAACAGCACCAAGGCTAGATGATGTTAAACCATGAGAAACACCACAATGATCCAATCACCTCCCACCAGGCCCCACCTCCAGCATTGGGGATTACATTTCAGCATGAGATTTTGTTGGGGACAGAGACCCAAACCATACGGTCTTATATGAACACCCTGGCAATTCCTCAGACTTTAGGTTTCAGGTGGCAAGACCAGATTGACGTCACTCTGGAAGTAGTTGATGAGACTGTACATTACCTATGTGGAGGGCAACAGGAGTGGTCTGTTATTCACCCTCCAAATTTTCTTTCTACTCTTCTCCAATCTGCTTCCTGCAGCAGAAGCCCAAGCTGTATAAATCTCATCAAAGAGCCCCTACGCCCTTGGCTCCTGGCTGGATTTCGCCAGTTCTAACAGGACATGGGGTGGGGAACAGTGAGTAAGTCTGGGTTTATAAACCTCTGTCTTTTTCCCTGTGAAGGTACTTCCAGCTAGGTGTGTCCTTAGCAAAGGTGACTGCCCCTCTATGTGGACTGTGCTGTAAAACACTCTCTCTGGGGACCAGTCACTTCTTCCCTGCACCTCTGGCCCAGGAGTGGTTACAGCTTTGCTGCTACTAAAGTTCAGGATGCTGCACCATCTCTTTTGGTTCTCCTATGCCCACACTCTTGGTTCTCCTATGCCCACACTCTTGTTAAATGTTCCTTTGTTGATAACCTTCCCTGAATCAAATGGCTATTATTAATAAGTCAAAAAATAACAGATGCTGGTGAGGTTGCAGAAAAAAAGGAACACTTATATACTGTTAGTGGGAGTGTAAATTAGTTCATCCACTGTGGAAAGTAGTGTAATTTTTCAAAGAGCTAAAAACAGAACTACCATTCAACCCAGCAATCCCATTGCTAGGTGTATACCCAAAGGAATATAAATCATTCTACCATAAAGACACATGCACCTGTATGTTTACTGAAACACTATTCACACTAGCAAAACCATGGAATCAACCTAAATGGCCACTAATGGTAGACTGGGTGAAGAAAATGTGGTACATATACATCATGGAATACTATGTAGCCATAAAAAAAGAATAAGATCTTGTCCTTTGCAGAAACATGGATGGAGTTGGGGATCATACCCTTAGCAAAGTAACGCAAGAACAGAAAGTCAAATACTGCATGTCCTCATATATAAGTTGGAGCTAAATAATGAGAATATATTAATACATAAAGGAGAACAACAGAAACTGGGGCTTACTTGAGAGAGGAGGGAGAGGATCACAAAACATAAATATAGGGTACTATACTTAGTACCTGGGTGATGAAATAACCTGTACACCAAATTCCTGTGACATGAGTTTACCTATATAACAAACCTGTAGATGTACCCATGAACCCAGCATAAAAGTTAAAAAAATAACTCTCCCTGAATCATTCCTTTTCTCTGTTCATTTTCTTTCCTATAAGGATATAGTTCTCAGATAACATTACTACAACTGAAAAGACATTGCCGTTGGTGATGATCAGTTAACATTACATGGGCATCTGAGGAAGAGACAGAGGACTTATCCAGGAGGAGGCTGATAATGAGCTCCTTGTTCAAGAGCTGGCCTCTGGCAGAGGAGTAGGATTGGTCCACATGGAGAAGCCCTAGTGTGCTCCAGATAGAAATAATGATGTCCACAATGGAGATGGATGTGTTCGGGGCACTTGCTATGACAACGGAGACTGGTGATCGACTATGGTTTATGGTCTGAAAAGAAGAAAGAGAGAAAACACAACTGGATCTGTGAGGGGAGGGCTAGGGAATTAATCACTTGGATACCAGACAGTAATTGAAGATGTGACAAGACACCACATGGCTCCAGGCTGCAGAGAGACAAGTGATTAGAATGCAGCCAGGGAAGGTGAGAATTAATGTGAGTCAAGCCTTAGGCATTGACAGTGAGGATGTGGAGGAATGAGGGTCTGCAGTTCCTGTTGTGTCTAGGGTCCGAGGCGTTGAGAAGAAACAGTGTGCGATGTGAGTTCCTATGCAACATGTGTGATCTGCTGAGGTCTCACCTGGAATTAAAGGCAGCCCTTATCCCATCTACACCAGGATTCAGTTACACTTGCTGAAGTGACCCATGTGCAACCCTGAAATTCTGGAGTAAACAGTCATAAATTATGATTTGTCCTTTTCTTCAACTCCCAACATCAGGAAGCGCCCAGCATCATTGCAATAAGAAGTGTAGAATGACTAAGAAAAATAAATCTGGCAGACCCCAGGGTGCTAGCGAGGTAGTTGCTGGATGGGGCCTGAAAGGAGAGGGGAGAAACCTTTGAAGTCAAATGAGATAATGTACTTGGGTGAAAGTAAATCATCCTGGCAAACCCTGATTGTATAATCTTTATTTAGTTGACGCAACTCAGATAAGCAAGCCTTTCATTCTCCCACCAAGTGTGTAAACTTTACTTAAGCTTACAACCAACACCCAGTTGCATCTGCTGCTGCTGCTTCCTTGCTCTTGCAACACTCCAGGTCCTGACCTTCTTTTTCTAGGCAAATACGTGTGATCCCACATCGCCCATATGGCCTCAAATGTCATTCTATTCATGTTGTTATGTGCGTTTATCATCAGCAAGTACTTTGTAAAAGTATGTGCATGGTTTTTCCATTGTGAAAGGCAACATGTTTGGAATCTGAAATCTGAGACCCAGAAATATCGAAGAGCAGAAGTAGGAAGCTAGCAGAATAAAGGTAGGGTGGTAGGGAAGGATTACTCCAAGGAGAAAAAGCAAAAATCAGCTTTATCAAAATTAGAGTAGTATTTACAGTGTGATTCTGTGTTTTTTTAGTAAGATAAATGAACAACAGCAACAAACCCTCTGAATCTATTTCATCTCCTGTGTACATGGAAACTAAACTTGAAGCAGGGTTGATAATTATCAGCTTTTTCTGTGAGCCTTTTCATCATCTTGCCATATAGTTATACTCCTAATTAGTACTGATCTTTCATATTCAGTTTCATGCTTTATCCTCACAACCACCATTTATTGTTACAGGACAGAACCTCTCATTCCTATTTTGAAGATAGGGAAACTGAGGCCCAAAGAGCTAACATGAATTTCCCAAAGTCACAGATTTTTATTACCTTTCTTTATTGTTATTTTCTGTACTTCAAACGCCCTCGTAAGCCTTATGGGGAGACAGGGCTTCAAAGTCCACTGTGGAGAATTGAGGAAAGGAGACTGCTGATTGAGTGTCTGAGTGACTGCTGAGGAGCCTGCTGATTGAGTGTCCCGGCACTGGAGCCACAGGGACTCCCATTAGAGCTCCAGCTCCACTCACATACCATGGGATTTTGGGCAAGTTATTTATTTTCCTTGTCTTTGTTTCCATGTCTGTGACCTGTGGGCAACAACAGTGCCAGCATCAATGTGTAGTTGTGAAACTGAATGGAAAATGCATGTTGCACACCTCCAATGTGCCTGGCACACAGTAAACCTGCAATCAGGTGCTAACTGGTAAAGGAATGTGTTACTATCACCTCTATATGTAGAGATTCAGAGACTGCCTGACAACACAGGCTGAACTCAGTGGCATATCACATGGGTATATGATCCATTAATAATAATTCTCATCTTAGGAATAAGATATTTTAGAGTAGAAAGACATGGAAACACCCAATGCAGACAATACAATGCCAACCAAACTAAATGTCACTAGCAATGGCACTTGTGTTGTAGTCAGACTTCGCCATATAATGGAAACAGTTAAAACTGTGTATTAAAGCTGACCAAGTGTTCTCAGTTATGTTTAGAACATCCTGTTTCTGACGCCAATTCTTTCAAGTACCTCTTATTCACTCCGTTGACAAGGGAGAGATTTCTGCGCTAAGGTCATGCATGAACACACAATACCCTACAATGAATAGATGAGGTTGACATTAGTTTATAGTCACATATACTCACAGTCTGAAGGTGGACACTGCCTGCCACATAGGGCCACAGAGTGACTCTTGGGAACATGGTGAACAAACAGGGTCTGGGGAAGGATGACTTTGTAGTAACAAGAGGGTGAGGTGTACCCTGGTTTCTATGGGAGGATGTGTTTGGCTTGTTTGCTTGTTTGAAAAATTATGGGGACTGGCAAGAAACTGGAACCTGCTCCTCAGGGATAAGCAGGAACTGTTTCTGGTCTCTGTGATAGGAAGCTTTGTTTGTTATGAAGGCCTTACCTATGGGAGCAGAATGGGATCCATTCATTCTCCTAACTCTAGGAGAGCCAAGAGTTAGCCCATCAAAGTTCTCCCGGTTTCACCAAATATCAAAACACACATAATATTATGCCTTAAATTTAGAACTTATGCCACATCTGAACAATGAGTAAAATCCCCTCCTCAACCAAGGCACACTATCACATTTCAGGCTGTAGAGGTGAAGAGAAGATCCTATGAAATCTCATTCAAGTATAAAGGATTAGGAAACCTTTAGACTTTTCAATAGCATTGTTAGTATCTGGAAATTTACGGAGAGATGCTCTCAATACTATAAAATTAAATGACTTTTGATGTAGAAATTGACACACAGTGGTACTAACAAGTGTGAAAATAGAATAAAAGCATTTTAAGACATAAGAGTCTCCAGGAATATACTTCTCATTCATTCTTTCTCAGGAAGTTTCTAGAGGCTGTCTTTCACCAAAACATGGTATTAGACAAAAAAGGAAAATATGCAAAATAGAGAAAGCAGATATCCAACTCAAAAAGAAGTGAAATAATTTTCCAGCTTGTTGGCAAAAGGACATCCTTAAACCTCCTCTGATTATCAGTTGCAGAGAGCAGCTAATTCAAGTTGGAGACGGAGGGCACCTGAAGAGATTTTCTGGTAAGATAGGAGAAGGATGAAAGTCACAGAGGAAGAGAAAGTAACTGCTAAAGCTGAACATATTGGAAGAATGCTTAAATAATTACGGTAATGTTTGGGTTAAGTAAATAATAATTCCATTGAAAATTAATGAACTGAATAACAGTAAAACAAACCAAATAAACATTAACATCAAAAACATAGTAAAGTTCTGCAGAAAAGATCAATTTAAATATATTATTAGGCCTAGCTGTAAATTTTTGTTTAATAAAATAATGTAAACACTTAGTATTTACCTAACAAATATTATGTTTAATGCCTAGGGAAGTAAACTGATAAAGGTGTCACATAAGAATGGGGGGGGATGATAAAGAACATTAAATCTTTGTACTTAGTAGGATTGAAATATGTGCTAGTTAAAACTGCATAAGAATACTAATATAGCTATATAGTTTAGAGACATGAGATTAAATATCAAAAGGATTGCTAAAGAAGTTCATAGTGGTTACCTCTGTGGAGCATAAAACATTCGGAAAAGGAAATAGAGACTTGTTTTCATTAAAAAAAAAAAAAAAAAAAAAAAGCCGTGTAGAATTACCTATTTAATCATTGTGTATTCACAACCTCAATTAAAGATAAAAATACACATTTTTGTTTCTAAAGAAGGGCGTTTAATAACATCAATGTCATTGATGATAAAATTTCTGAGATTTATTAATAAAAGGAAGCTCCCTAATCTGATAAAATTCTATGTTATAACTAGCTATAGAAAGCAGCATATTAAAAAATTATATTTATTTTGTTTTGTATTAAAAATTGTATTTATTTTTTGCATTGTTATAATAATAGGTGTAATATAATAACAAAGCAGGGATTATTTCTATTAACGCTAATGAGCAGCATAATTCAAGCTGTATTGAGCAATACAATTAAAAATACAAAGAAATAGAAAAACTAGGCTTGGAGGAAAAGAGTTAAAACAGTAATTATTTTCTGGTAATATATGGAGAATATCTATCAAATCAATAGAAAAAATATTAGAAGTCATAAGGGAGTTCAACAAAGTTGTTGAACAAAGTACTATGTTATAAAAATCAATATGCCACTCCAAAATTGTACTAGCCTAGGATAAAAATATAATAGAAAATGAGATACCACTCATAATTGCAAATAAAAACCACACATAACAAATATAACAAAAGATTCAAAAAAGGAACATTTAAAAATTCTAATTAATTATGTTTGTAAAATGAATTAATAGGCATACCATGTTCATGGATGTAACAATCACCTCATAAAGGGATAAATTCTCCATAGATTATTTTATCATTTAATGAAATTAAATTTAAAATTATAGATTTAGTGTGTGCATTTGATCAACTGACTGAAATTTACATACAAGAATAACATCTTAAGAATTGATAAGACAAAGTTTAAAAAGCAAAGCAGTAAGAAACAGTCACCATACTTCATATTAATAAATACTATAAAGTCATAGTAATGAAGAGAGTATTTTACTCTTGTAGGAACAAATAGACTAGTATCACATTTTAAGAGACCAGAGTAACGTATCTACAGATTAATAGAGACTTGGTGATAATAGAGTTGACATCACAAATAAACTTTTAAAGAATTTATTATACAGAAAGTGGGGCTGGAATATTGGTCATGTATATAGCGAAGAAAACCAGAGTGTAACTTCTCAAAATACAAAGGATTGTTTAGCTGGAGACAGTTAAGATACAAGGAAGCTCTCTGCTTCCCTCTCTGTGCAAAAACAGGACAAAGATTTACAAAGACAAAAGGTCTTTCCACTCTCCTCCCCATTTTTTTCCACTTAAAGACAGAATATAAATTTTCCTGTACTGTAGACAGCCCTTAATCAGCCCAGAAATGGAGCCAGAGGAGTCTGTGAGCAGAATTTACTCCATTAGTGTCTGCCCATAAATTTACCTTCCTACAGTTTTTCTGTCTTTGGAAGCCTGGGACTGCTTTTCTTTTTGTCCCGTTGCTTCTCTTAAATTTATTGCTCTTTGTTGAAGATCTTAGATAAACTGAAACTCTAAGCAAATATCTTGAGTTATGTTTCTCCAACATGGTATGCACTGCATGTGTCAATAAACTTGCTTGTTTTACTCTTGTTAATCTGTCTTCTGTTGCAGGAGTCTGTCCAAACTATGAATTAATGAGGGTTGAGAAAAAATATAATTTCTCCTCTTCGGTAGAAAAAATAAAAATAGATACCTGTCACACATCATGTACAAATTTGATCTCTGGATGGGTTCAACACTTAATTGAGAATGGTAAATTTCCTACATATACATATATATGTACAAATTTTATATGTACACGTATGCATATATATTCACATGTTTAGATATACATGCACATCCATTCATTTATATACAGCATATATACACACACATGTATACTACATGAGTATACAAACACACATATGTATATACTATATGGGTGTGTGTGTATAATTATTTCTAGGCAGACTGTAAAATGACATTTTATT